CCAAACTCATCTGCGGACTCGAACCTGCAAGCTCCATGCTTCCGTCATCACTAGCACTCGATTCCTAATCTAACGACCTGTTAAATCGTGGTCTTCTAACCCAGCGATCGCTGCAGCTGCCATCGCGGTTGACACGAGTTGTTGTCAGATGGCTTAGTTAGCATAAAACGATCTGACAGACGGAGTGTCGCTCTAGCCGTTTGTTAGTGGTTGCCAACACCATGTCTTTTGTCGTAAACAGTGCTTCATGGTTAATGGTGTTCGATACTTCCGCGTAAAATATTAAATCGTGTTGCGGCACACACACACCGTTAGTTTTCTCTTTGTTCTTAACAAAAGTTGATGCAATAGACACTTGAATTTCGACATTTAGTGCAGGTCTTCCATTGGTTTCGGCCCCTGCCATCTTCACGAGCGTTCTGTGGCACTGGCATTCCCTGTTCTCTGTTCACCAACCAGGAGGATGGTGAGTAAACAGTAACTCTGTTATAACTGACCGGTTGTACCAACTCTCCTAGTCGAAAGGAACGAATGACTTGCAAACTTCATACATGCACGAAATAGCAATTGACAGAATTCGATACAAATGACTCGTGAGACTTAGCTGCCAAACATTTTCTAAGTACGGGCTGAATCAAGCGACTAGACCAGACGCGAACCTACATGTATCTATACAACCCTGAGAAAATAGAAGTAAGCCCTACGCATCAGCCGCTTTTACTGGCGCAGCAAAAGTGGAATACATCGTTGCCCAGCGATTGGTGACGCACGCGATTTTTCAATTAGAATAGTTTGCGTACACTAACCAGGAAACCAAGGCTTAAGCAAGTGATTTGGTACAGTGCGAGTACAAGCGGAATGTTTAGGGAAATATGCAGTCTTGTGAATACGGACGCTGTTCGGAGAAGTGCGTTCATGTAAGTACGCAGGCTATTTAAACAGAATTGTCTGTTTGAGGCACTAAGTGCCCTAGATTAACTTGAAGAAGACGCACGTTGTAAGTTCGTACCATTTCGTGACCTCTGTTGACTTGTAAACGAGTAAGTTCAAAAATGGTAACGTGACATAAACACAAGAGGTTGACATCAGAATGCCAAATGTATAGGAAAGCAAAAGGCGGCTACAAGTTGTAGACGTACCACGAATTGCTAGAGAACGTAGCAATCAGTTTTTTCTGAATACAGTGTTGGTCGATGCTTGTTTATGCCCACGACCTCGGGAAACTTAAAGCCTCTGGCGTTTGTTTTACGACAGGTGACATTAAACTTCGAGTCGAGGTCGGCTTGCTAATCCGTCTCGATCAAACGTTTGGCGATCGAGGAGCCTGGTATCTTGTTAGTTAATATGAATGTATGAACCTTAACTCCGCACTTGCTGTCTCTAAGACGTATAGTTTTCGATCACCAGACGGTGATGTTGAGGCACTCGCAGTTAACCTGTACATTGCCTCCGCGCAACTTAAAGTTGTGTTGGTCTATGGAAGCGCAGACAGCGTTGCTAAGTCTCTCGTTAATTTCATCCGTGAACATTCGGCAAATAGGTGTTTAGTGATGGGGGACTTTAATCTTCCCGACGTTGAATGGCAGAATTTTTCCTGTGATGCTGTTACAAGGTGTTTGGCTACCGAGATTCTCGAGCTGGCCTTGCATGCTTCTCTGCACCAGTTTGTCGATCGGCCTACTATATTCATGATGGGTCAGAACCCGTTCCTCTTGGAACTGATCTTCGCTAAACCCATTGATTTTGTCAAGGATATTGTATACAACCCACCTCTCGAGGCTACCGACCACGTATATCTCTCATTTAAGTGCGCCCTTAGTCTTCAGACCAACGATCGTCCCGACCGAGTATCAACTATATCGCGCGGACTTGCAGACAATGAAAGTCAAGGCCGCAAAGTCGCCTTGTGTCAGTTTGGAAACTGACGACATTCAAACGGCCTGGGACAGATTTAAATCATACTTGATTGAGCTCTCTCTCCCCATATACCACTATCTGGCAAGAATACAAATACGGCAAATCCACACTGGTTTGATTCTGCTGTACGCAAACAACTTAACAGACGTGCCAGATGTTGGCGTACTTAGTTATCTGCTCCTTCAGTATACACCATCAAGCGTTATCACGAGGTTCGAAATGCCTATAGGCAGCATCTACGAGGTGCTCGTCTACAGCATGAAGTAGAGCTTGCTCGTATAGCCTCATCAAACCCGAAACGCGTCTTCGCTTATGTCAAAAGGCGAAGCAACATGAACTCATGCATCCCAGTGTTGTTTGGCCTTGTCGACACTGCTGCCGTCACAGATCACGGAAAAGCTTGTTTGCTTGGAGAACAGTATGCTGGGGTTTATGTTCGAGTCACAGCCGCCGCATATCAGCCTCCAGGCAAAAGTTCCTGAGGGCTCCCACTTGGAGGAGATTTCCGTAACGGAGACTCAAGTGCTCCGGCTTCGGAGGGAATTAAATCACAATAAAGCTGCCGGTGGGGATGCTATTCATCCCAAACTGTTGTACGAGTTGGCTGATGAACTTTGCCGTCCGGTTACACAACTTGTTGTGATGTCTCTAAGCAGCTGCTCTCTACCCACTGACTTGAAGGAGGCTATTGTCTGTCCTGTTCTTAAGAAAAGTGATAAGCACCTCGCTGATAACTATAGACTGGTCAGTTTGAGGAGCGTGCTGGTCAAGTTGTTGGAAAAACTCGTGAGGGACGCTCTCGAAGGACACTTGAGAGCTTTTGAGTTGTTTAATTCTTCTTAGCACGGCTTTCGTAAGGGCTATTCTTGCCTTACTAACTTGTTAACGGCTCGTGAACACTGGTCAGTGGACGTGCTGTTCATTGACTTTTCCAAAGCTTTTGACACCGTTCCACATTCGCGCCTTATGTACAATCTGAAGTCCTGCGGTATTTCTGGACCAGTCTTACGATGGATTTCAGCTTTACTAATCGGAAGGGAAATGTGTGTGCGGGTGGGTACAAGCTTGTCCTTCCGCCAATGTGTTCTCAGTGACGTTCCGCAAGGTACAGTCCTTGGCCCCCATCTCTTCACTTTATACGTTAATGACCTACCCGATGAATTGGGTATGCGAGCCCTAATGTTTGCGGATGACTTGAAACTCCGGTTCACGATAGACGATCCGATTGGTCCACTGACCCTACAGAGGGCTCTGGATAGACTTTGGGACTGGTCTCTTTTATGGCAGTTGTCCGTTACTTTAGCGAAATGTACGATTTTACCCGTTGGTCCGAATGACCCGCCGAAGCGTTATTTGCTTGGCGGCAATGAGGTACCGCGCGTTCAACTCCAATCTGACATCAGAGTTTTGCTGTCATAAGATTTTAAGTCCAGTTAACACTGGACGACAGCTGCTCGCAAAGGTTTCAACATGTTGTGGATGATCCGCAAGTCATTCGGAATCATGACCACCGAAATGTTCGTTGGACTCTTTTCGGCTATTGTAAGGCCGCACTTGGAATACTGTGTTCAGGCTTGTCCTCCATGCGTGGTTCGTGATAAGATGGCAGTTGAACGAGTCCTGCAATCTGGGACGAAAATGGTGCACGGGTTAAAGAAGCTGACGTACCCGGAGAGGTTACGTAAGTTAAATATGTTTTCTGTGTATTACAGGCGGATTTGGGGTGATCTGTTCCTTAAATGTCGTATACTGATGGGACAGATTGGTCCTGATTTGACTGGACTGTTTCGCCCAACTCGAGCGCCAACGCTTCGTGGCCACCCATTAAAGTTGCACAAACCCCGATCTGACCGGGTTTGAGCAGCTTTTCGGTTATCGCGTAGGGTCATAGCTTATTGGAACGCACTGCCTGCAGACGTCGTGATGGCCCCGACGGCGAAAGAGTTCGAGCATCGACTTGACGCTCTCGGTCTGCAGTTTAAAGTCTTTCCCTTCATGTCTTAAACTTTTGTTCGTCTACTACGGCCTACGCTTCTTTAACTCATTTTAACTTACATCTTAATATTGCCTACGAAATCCGATAAGCTTGTCTTCACTGTTTCCTTTCCTTACTGACACTACTGTTTTATGTTATTCTTCACGTGGCCGACACAGCAGGGACTGCTAGTGCAGTGCACGTGGGCATTGTTTGGTTGACCATGTGAATCGTGTGTGTTGATTTGGTTCTCCTTTGGCACATCAATGCACCGGTTTCCCTGTTGGATCAACGACGTTTTCGAAGGTGGAACATTCGCGGGATTTTCCTACTGTTCTGGAAGCACTTGAAATTGAACTCAGTTTTCATCTTAACGTAATATCCATACATTTTTGTAGTGCGATGCCCGGGACTGTCAACTACTTTGACCATAAGTGTTCCATACTGGAGTTCACACTCCATGTGTTCAACTTACAATTCTCTTGTAACGACCTACGCACCAAGTCGTACTTTTATTGTTTGAGGGTATGTTAAAACGAATCATGCAAAATGTAAGGGCAATCAACGTCAATGATGATGTAAATGATAAGAGCTTAAAAACCAATGGTTCTGAACAGTGAAATGCATCTTTTCCTGAGCATTACTTTGGTGTACTGTAACAAAATGGCCCTGAGTAATGGTCATCCCTAAATGTGAGCGGATGCACAAGCAGTACCTATCTCACTGGATCAAGGTTACATAATGATGTGAGAACCACTCGATAGTAAATGCGATGAGTATGAGCAGTAAATTGATTCCGCTCTTGCATCCATACGTCCTAATCCATCGTGCAATGGGTCTGTGTGTCTGCTTTGCAAAACGAGCACTGTCCAGCGATACCTGATAATAAAGATATGACAAACGCAAAAAGGCCCCCAATGCCTATGAAACAAAGAAAATACAAATGCCAAGCCTTTTGAATAAACCCTGAGCTCTTAAGGATTAACTAATTAAGACAGTTTGTTAGTGAATCCCACAAAAACTAACTGCTTAGGTTGAGATGAAGTAGTGTTCGGATAAGTAGAATATTTGGCAGTTTGGCACGAAAATAACATGAGGATTGTCTCACCTTGTATTGGAGTTAGAACAGAATCGCTGGTCGTTAAAGGGGTGATACGGCGGCCACAATCGAGAAAACTTGCAAGAGAGTGATGTCCAGTATGTCGCAGAGCGTTAAGTAACAGAGCTAGTCCAGTGGAAAAATTGGAATTGGGAGAATGCGCAGCACATTGCGTATCTTCTGGTGACGGCAGGCCCAAGGAGGCTAACAGCAGAGACCTTCCTTGGTGTCTGTCGGCACACAAAATCTGTTTACTAACGCTTTCCGAAAGTGCGCCGTGTACTACAAGATAATCCAGTATAGCTGGTTCCACCTCCAAAGCTTGGAATCGGATAAATGAGGACTGGTCAGAGTAAAGTCTTGAAATACGCTTGGCCTTTCTCGAAACGTAATCAGATGCGACCTGGTTTCCGTTAACGGAAGGTGTGCTGACGCGCGACGAGTCAGAGCTGAATGGTGACATTTCGGTCGATGTCGGGGTTTTCAACTGAGCAAAACGATCAGGATGTGAGCGCGAATGACTGCAATCGGCTCGTTCTGGAATGCGAGATGTCCGAATCAGCTCTTCATGAGTGTTATGGTAAGCTCGAACTCCAGATCTCAAAGTAGATCCGTTACCACAGTGTACGCTCGAGAAGTAAGGATAGACTTGCTCAACTTCTACCATGGCAAAATATCCGAAAGGTTAGCAAAAAGTATACAGCGTTTGAAATAATGTAAAGCATGAGAATGAAGCAGGCTAAAGTCCACAAAACGACCGCGACGACTGGGAGGCTGGACGTCACACGACACTTCAGCGTGTGGAACACCGGCTGTTCCACCAGCAACTACACTGCTTGAACTATAGTTCAACTGGGACGGAATGCACGTGGTGGGCGATTGCGCGTAAATGCGTCATTTTCCTATGAGACACGAATGAGTTGCTAATATATCATGGTTAGATATTAAATGAACTCATAATTTTTATATTATATTGAATTCTTACATCACACTTTTCCTTCTGTTATTTTTCATACTATATCCGCATTACATTTTTAAGCCATTAGTGATCTTTTAATATTAGGTCCCATTCCAAGCATTGGATTTGTATATAAAAGGCAGTTGAACTTGAACTTGATTGTCTTTAATTCAAATTCGCGCGTGTTGTGAGACCTGTACTCAGTGGATTGGGGCGCGAAAAACGGCTGACTGGTTTTGAAAAGGAGACTGAACGATGTTCAATCTTCAAATGTGCGACCAAATACCGATGTAGCTTATTATCCACCTTATTAGTAGTTTCTGGTACGAGAAGCACTGCGATGCATGAAAGTGTGTCCTGTAACCTTGATTAAATAACACGATTTTTGCGCGTTGTACATTCGATTACTTGTAGCTCGAATATAGTAGAAAACAAAGTTTGGATAAACTAATGAAACAAACTTTGACCGTTATGCACTTTTTATCTGGTCCAAGTAGTCTTTGATCTAATATATTGCCATTGGGCAACGTTTCGCTTTCAGCTGATGGCTCTCATTTTGATAATTGTGTGTTTTGCCAATCCTTGGTTCACCCATTTTACCAGTCGCCGTTTTCGTCATCTGTTCTTCAGGCAACCGTTGTTCGATCCTGCGTAGGTTTACTTTCTGTGAGCACTGGTTTCCACTTTTTCAACCATGTCGGTCTCGCAAATAATTGAGGCTGTCGTTCATTGCGGCTTGAAAAATGAGACTAGCCTAGTTTGTGCCAGTTAATGCTGCAAAATTCCAGTAGCTAGCGAGTTCGTTGACGTCGAGGGTGATGTCTACAGCAGCTGTGACACCAGCGTCGTACGGCTTTGAGCGTGGAGCAGTCGGTAAAGCTGACCACCAACAGCAGCTTGCATTTCCTCTGAGTCAGATGCCTTAAACGCCGGCAAGGTCGCCAGGACGTACGGCATATAGAGGAAGTCCTGGGGTTGCTGTTTCGATGGGTGGAGCGTTTATCCTTGGTGCTCGCACGCTTTCAACATAAGGTTGGCATGAGCTTGGCCACGCTTTCGGTCTTTAGTGGTGCACTGGTGATCAACTTGTGCTAACAACCATCTTGGCTCCGAATTCGATGTCTGCAGACCACACACAAAAGGCTCCTTCGGATAGCGTATTTCGCTCTTCCATGAACGGCACTGATTTGCGCGGTTATGAGCTCACCTCAGTGAAGTGAACGTGAGCCAGGACATTCCAGATGCACTCTGCCAAACCCTGGGTCTTAGTTGACTCTGCGCTGCAAAAGGCGAACGTCAGCCCACGTTAGTGTATCTGACGATTATGCAAATGACGAACTGCCACACACACTACGTTCCACTGAAAGTGCTGGCCATCTCGGTTGCCACTGATGAGGTGCTTTCCAGCGGCTTGGCTGGCTCTGTTCAAAGCGGTACATGGTCACGGTCCCCTTTCTCCGTTATCCAAAACAAACAGCGGAACAAACCTGCCAGTAGGCCTTCAGGCGGACATAAATTTCAGGAGAAAAATAAGGCGCAGACTACGTAGTGGAAAGCTTACGCCACCGTTCTTGCAACATTGTTTGAACGGTGAGGGCCCATCACCTATCCTGTAGTGAATCCACCGGGTAAACACACTTCTTCGTAGTGGCAGTTTCATGGATGACATTGCTATATCACTAAACGCTATGAAAACCATCACTTTCCTTCCTGCCAAACCCTTGCCAGGCCACCACCATCGGTTTAATACGTGGATAAACAAGTTTCCTCCGCCTTGTTTGGCAGTTGTTATAAGCAGGAAGCTGACCTGACTGGGGCCCATCCCATTTGGCGTGCCAATCCAATTTTGTGATGAAGCCAGTAGATACGCGCCTTTATCAGAAAAGCCAATACTCAGGCCCTTTTCGCGCTTCGAATATTGAGATTATTTATTGGTAAACAATTGTCGCGTGCATTTCGTTGGCTCCCGCGCTTATGAACACATGGATCTCAACATGCTGCGGCCAATAGTTTACCTGCGAGAACCATGTAACACCCGAGGACATCGTTACAAACTCAGGGTCCCCAGCATGAACAATGTATCACATCAGCTTTGGATCGAACGAATCGTAAAATTATGGAATACACTACCTGAAGGATTAATAGAGGCCGATTCTGTGAAGTGTTTTAAAACCCGCATCGACGATTATTTTGGAAACCTGTGCTTTTGTGAAACGATGCACATACAGTGCCAAAAGAAGACATTGTATGTCCGGAAATAATGACGCTAGTACAGATTTCTAACCGAACACAGACAAACGATTAACGGACCAGACCCAACTGCTGCTAATTCACAAGTAAATTTTGATTTTTCGTAATTCGATAGAGTTGTACAGAAACCTTTCTACTTGCTCTTAAATACAGTCTCAGTCTCATGGTGAAATGGTAACGAATTTCCAGTTTTCCACCAGCGCTTGTAACTTCGATTTTTAACACAGCAGCTGGATCACCTATATCCAACCTTGACCAACCAACATATATTTTTCCATTTACAAACTGTGAAAATTTCCTATCGCTCTTTTTTTATGAATTGCTTGTAATATTCCAATGCAGTTGTGCTTACTGCGCCTACTTGCTCATGCCTTACTGTGTTGTGCCTCATTCAGTTGAGCATGCATTTAGGTTATTTATAAACTCTCGACTGTGACTATTAGATGATGCTCTCTGTCGTGGTAAAACGCAACGCGCTTCCGCGGTTTCCTTTTAACCTGTAGGGTAGTAATATTAGTGTTCAGCCATTCCTTCCCCTGACAGGTAGGGTGAAGCTTAAGGAGGCCATCAAAAACCATTTAAGCAAGTGCTTGACCGCTGAGCATTGTATCCGGTTGGTTTTTACAAGTGCACTTTCTAATAACCCATAACCTAAGGCAAGACGTTACTTTTACCTTCAGGTAGTGCTCAGCAAGGTGAGCAGCCTAGGGAATAAGATGTACCGGTCAGGTGAGCTGGTAGTCGGGCTTCACCTTAAGCCACCCGGATTCACGAACGGCAGGGTACAAAACTGAATATATAAATAAGTACATAATATGTTTATTCGCAGCTACGGATAACCACCCTGCAAGGACACGGTCACACTAAGAGTACGAGTGAACAAGCATAATATGAATGGCACACATGTGGACCCATGAATTCCGTATATGTGTGTAGCTGTTTCTAGCGTTTGTAAATAGATGGCCGCACTTTTGGCCTGCTCGATCTTATCCTTATTGTCGACGGGGTGGTTTGACTTGCTGGATTGGATACGGTTGTCGGGATAAGCCTGGGGTGGTGACTTTAGTGTTTGGCATGTCCCAACCTCGAAGTCGCAGTGATGTTAAATGGGTAGCTTTTGCTTTATACATAGCACGCTTGCCAGGTGAAAAGCCTCCGAATCACCAGCTGCACCACGCGGAGGTTGTCCGGCTGGCCAGTACTATTTAAATTGTTGGCCAGCTGAACAAACTCTTTGTGATGCCGGTTGGGCGGTTGCGTTAACCCCTTTCAGTAAATACTTCGGCGGTAGGGTGTCAGGACGTGATGGGTCTTCGCCAGGCAAGCGTTTTCCCTATAAAATGCCACAGAGATCCATTTAACAGCGCTGTGACGTGGCGGGTTAGCCTCCACGCCGACTAAAGTCATCCATTGCTTACCCGGACAACCGCTGCAAGTTCACAGCCATCAAGCATCCACTTAACACTGGCGACAAGTTTAAGCCCCATCGAACGGGCAGAAAACATTTAAAAATTCCATAAATACGTCTAAACGCGCCCATATGCACGCTTATATACATTCATCTAACAACATAGACGACAATCTCTTGGTTCCACTGTACATTAAACGGATCACATTTTTTACTCTTAACATGCTCATGGCAAGGCAGGCGTGCCTCGCTTAGCAGAGAAGAAACATTTTATTAATTTTGGCCGGCAGTTTGAAGCGTCGCACTGTATGTGAGCTGTGGCCTTGACGTCTTGAAGACCTCGTAGTTTTACTCGGTGAATAACACGGTTGAACCTCTGTCGGCTGTGGCCAGCGGCTGCTCGGCTAAAGTACCAGTAGTACATGTTTACAGAAGCCCTGGGAGCGCACCCCGGGAGATGCTTGACTGTATTCGTGCACAGTCAGCAAGTATTTGTCTGTTTTCCTTTGCCTTCAAATTAGTGGGAGCTTACTCGGTAGCTCCCTCTTGCAACTCTGCGGCAGGTACTTTCGGTACTGCAAGCGCCGTTTCACCTGTTCTTAGTCCGCCCTGCTAGTTACCTGGGCGTTCACCTACCGTCTTGTTTAGACATTATGTTTGCTAAGCCACTCAAGTTTGTTGATCGGTCTACCTACAGGCCACTACAGGGTGCTAGTGATCATATTTGTTTGTGCTTCAGTTACACTGTCTAGACGCCACCAGCGAACTGTTGCGTTACGTCCACATATATGGCGTGCATATTCCTGAGCAAGATGAGCCAAGCATCCGGGGTTCTCTTGTAGAACTTCGAAGGCTGATACTGTCTGTGTCCACGGAAATAAATTCAGACCCCACCTTGCAGAGGTCCTTACTCATGGTATCCCGGTCACAAGAAGCAAGGAAGCATTGCATAACACGTTGGATAGTTTTCAATGGTGGGCGCTTACGTGGGTACCCGTGACTCGTAGCCTGAGACTAAAAAAGGGCCTAAGTAACTCCTAATGGATCTGCGGCTATTGTTTATGAAGGGTCTAGCAGATGAAGCCTCTGTGAATCCGAAACCGTTCCGTACATATGTCTGTAGGCGCTGTGGTTCGAACTCACCAATTCTAACGTTGATAAGAGTCAAAGGTCACATGCGCCTACAGACTAACTAGGCCTGTGTATTTGGTGGGCAGTAGGTTGCAGGCCTATAGGAAAAACTTCATTACCAGGGGATGAGCTTCTTTCTAGAGACCAGTGACTTTGGGTCGAGCTGAAGGTTTTTAGTTTTACGGAAGTCAGTATGAGTCTGCAGGAGCTGAAAATTTCCATTATAGCTGGGCCACACGTGTTTTGCCAGAAACTCTTATT